ATTTCTCCTGAGTACACCTAGTTCTGTGTTGTAGGGTCATTTCATCATAGGCACCTATCTTCTCCTTCAGCCCATGGGTTCTGGGCCTGAGAAGTGGTTCAGGTGTGATCACTGGGCAGGATATTGTGGCTCTTGTCTTAGCTCTATCTGCTGTCAGCCTCCTCATCATCCATGCTTGGTTTGTTTTCAGTGCATACCTTAACCAGTAGTCTTGACAACTAGTCCTCTATCTAGGCTCGATGGTCACTGTGTTGTGTTCACAATCTCCATTGCTCACTGTGAATGGACCCCTCCTGTCAGCCACTCTGAACTTGCCATTTGTTGCAGTAATTATGGGAGGAGCACAATGTTATCTGAGAGGTGCAACTTCCATAACCATGTCCATCTTATTTTATAAGATTTCAATAATAATTTAGCATCTATTTATTCCTGACTTCACCTTCTTCGGAATAATTATGCTTTTAAAAAAAGTTATCTTAATTTTTATGTTATGGTGTTTCCACTCTGAGAGCCTTAATTGTGCCTACATTAAACACAAAAAACAGTAGTTTACTTGGGAGATCATTTTTTTTCTGATTTTGTTCTTTCAGCAAATATTTATGGAGCCTAATACATTCTAGGCTCTGTTGGGTGTGATAGGAAAACAACAATAAAGAACCGTTGTCTGACTCGAGGAATTAATTATTCAGCCTAATGAATTGCCTATGACTGGAATGGTCAACCAGTTAATGTAGTTCATTCAGGAAGACATGGAATTAGGGGCCAGTAGTTTGTGCTCAAGTTGAAAGGGTGTAGCAGGTGGTTTATTACCCTGGGACTGCTCTGAATGATGACCTGTCACCCTTGCTACACATTCTCCCTGACCAAGTCTATGTGTGTTGTCCTATGCTGATGGACCCAGAGAATGACCCAGAGTTAGTGGTCTCCAAATGAGGTACATGCACACAGGGGTGTGTAAGGCAGTCAATGGGGGCTTAGGCTAAAAATAACTTCTACCTCTTTATCCTTTGAAAAAGGAAAAAAACACACTCTATCATATATAATCTAGATTATGACTAGCACATCTCTTCTTCTGGTCATAGGATATGTATGGACCTTGAGACACCCTGAATGAAACGTAGGATCTCCACCCCACCTCATTCTTCAGCCGTCAGTATATTGTGACTTGTGGTTGTTTTCCACTCTTAAGTAGATTAGATAAAGAAAAAAAAATAGACTTTTTATGTATAAACAAGGGTAAGCAATTGTGTTAAAAGTGTGGGGACCACTGTCTCTTAAGCTCCAGCCTAGATGCATGCTAGTCGTTCCATCCATGATCCATTTCCATTTTCTTCTTGATAAAACAGCAAGCCTGGATCTTTGTGGCCATTATTAAGCATGTGGATAAGGTAAGCCTTTAGGCCATGCAGAATGGCTCCTCTGGTTATTTTTATCCTCTATCACCTTTGGAACAATTGGTTGGGAATAACACTGAGTTCTAGAAATTGTTTTGGTCTTTCCCTTACCATTAAGTGGTCTCTTAGGGCTGCTATGGACTGAATTGTACCCCCCCACACTCATGTTGAAACCCTAATTCCCAATGTGAAGGTTAGATCAGGTCATGAGGGTAGGGCCCTTATCCAACAGGACTGTGGCCTTAGAAGAGAAAGATCTCTCCCTCTCCCTCTCTCTCTCTCTTTAACTGTCTGCAAGCCAGGAAGAGAGTCTTCATCAGAACCTGTCCATGCCGACACTCTGACTTCAGACTTCCAGACTCTAGAACTGTGAGCAAGTCAATTTCTGTTGTGTAAGCCACAATCTGTGGTATTTTGTTATATCTGCCCAAGCTAATTAAGACAAAGGCTTATCCTTTGTAGTTAACTGTTGTGAAATCCTGATTATTAGTGCAGTAAAACAGAATGATCAAGAGCACAGACTGGGCTACACTCAGGTTCAAATCTCATGTGATTTGGGGCAAGTTCCTTCATCTCCAGGACTCCATTTCCTCAATTACAAGGTAGGGATAATAGGGGCACCTGGGTGGCTCAGTCAGTTAGGCGTCTGACTCTTGATTTCCATTCAGGTCAAGATCTCAGGGTCAAGGGATCAAGCCCCACGTCAGGCTCCATGCTGGGTGTGGAACCTGCCCAAGATTCTCTCTCTCCTTCTGCCCCTCCTCCCCTTCCCATGCTCTTTTTCTCTCTCAAAACATAAAATAAAAATAAAATAGGGATAACAATTCCTTAAAATTTGTTTGAGGTATGATCATACAGGGATACTTATTTGGTACCTGGCTTATAATACAGACCTTATATAATAACAATGATGCTTTAATGATTTATTGATCTCATAAAATTGTGATGGTTTAGGTAGGTAGGAAAAATCTTTTCCCTCCGATCTTTGCAAGTGGGGCAGAATAAGGTTATATTCAGCATTTCCCCATTTTTTCTTGCTTTTAAACTTGTAATTAAGAATCTTCGTTTGTAGTTAAGCTCCTACTTGAATCAAATAAATTCACATCTTCCCATTATAAAAAAATGTATAATCAGCATTTTTCTATATGCCAATCATATGGCTTAATCACAAGTTGTAGGTAACTTCAAAAGACAACAGAACTTGCATCTAGTATTGCTAAATGGGCACAAACTACATTTTATAAAGATGTGTTTCAGTAGATGTCCTGTAATTTGTCATCATATCTATAAAACCCCTACATAGTATATCATCTTGGTTGCATTTGTACATATCTTTTGTTGGATGGTGTATTTATTTGTGGGAGCTGCCATAACAAAATACCACCCACTGAGTGGTGTAAGCAACAGCAATTTCCTTTCCTTTTTTTTTTTTTTTTCACAGTTCTGAAGGCCAGAAGTCCAACATCAAGGTGTCATCAAGTTTGGCTTCTCCTGAGGCTTCTCTCTTTGATTCACAGATGGCCACCTTTTTGCTGTGTTCCCACATGTTTTCCTTCTGTGTGCACACATTTCTGGTGTCCCTTTGTGGGTCCAAATTCCCTTTTGCTATGAGGACACCAGTCTGACTAACCCTAAGAACTTCAGTTTAAGTTCATCTTTTTAAAGATTCTATTTCCAAACACAGTCACATTTGAGGTAGTGGGGGTTAACACTTCAACACAAGAATTTTGAGGGAGAAGGGGACACAATTCAGCCTGCATGTGGTAAACCAGGAAATTCTACTCCTCAAAACTGGGATTTCGGAGGTGCTTTATGGCAGGTGGGAGTTCCATACCTGTTTACATTTTTTTCAAGCTAAGATTATGGCCATGCTCTAAGACAAAGAAACTGAAATGTTCTGATTCCTCTTTGTGTTTCTGTATGAGATAAACCAGAATTTCTCAAAAACTTTGGTTCTCCTGGAAATACTCCTTTGGATTTCTTGTTTGTGAGAGCATTTGACTGCATTCTTACCTATGTGACACTCTAATTTTTACAAAATGTCCTCAGTTATCCCTGGCTTGGCCCCTTATTTGACAGCTTCTCACCTAACTCTCAATGCAGACTGCTAGCTGCAGCACACCAGTGGGGCATATACTTGCAACCCATGATGCCTTTTAAGATCTGTGTCAGGAGAGCCCATCACCAAGGCCTGCTGCCTCCTGGATATGCAGCTCATCCATTATTCCAGGTCGTGGGCCCCTGAAACTGAATGCAGAATTGTTCAGAACATTTGTTTCAAAGACAAAGATCCATAGTTTACATCTCATGCCATTTGGGTCTATGGCTTCAAGAAGGTAATGTGCTCTGAATGAGCTCAAGTTCTCCCCTTGACTACAGCTGCACATGGTAGCGCCACGCACAGGCAGCAACCATCAGCTGTGTTTAAGGGATGTTTGGTGAAGTGGCTCTGTGAATAAGCTTGTATTTAATGAAGAATATTCTCATCAATATTTCCTACCAGCATTCTCTCCTCTGGGTCCCATTGGAGGAGTTTCTCTCTTTCCAGGGCATTCTCCTGATGCTTATTGTACTCTGTTAGAAACTGAATCTTGTAAAAAAAAAAAAAATATATATATATATATATATATTTCTTATCTTCAAATAGCTGAAAAGCTTTTGACCAGACTTGTGATGAACCACTCGTGTATGTAAAGGACTTCATAATACCAATTGTATGCACTTTAAAAATGCTTAATGCCATCTTATACTCCTTTCTGTCATATCGTTTTTCTTATTTTAGTTTATTTTATCTTGCTATATCATGTCTCCCTTTGCAAAGTGCTTTTCATCATAACTTCTGGGTAGGAATTTTGATCTTTTCCCAATTACGATGGATGTGTATATGGTCATGTGTATATGTGCAGGGAAAGAGTTAAATGCTCCCTCTTTTTTTCTAGTGAGATGGAGTTTTTATAACAATTTATATCCAGTATTGCCCTTCAAAGGAAGCAAATCCAATGGGGACCACTGAAAAGACTGCAGCCTCTCTGTGATTCTGAGGACATAGTTGAAACGTGGTGGTTCCAATGCCTCAGCCATTTCTAGGAACAGCAGTAAATGCTCTCTTGCCTTTTCTCCTTAAAGGACAACTACCCCTTAGGGGAAGCACCAGGTGTTGTGTAGGAAGGACGCAATCATGTACTGACATCTTCAGGAGAAGAAAAGCCAGCGATACCATCTTAGACACTTAACTCGGAACACGCGTGCTAAACTAAGCCCCTGCGGAAAGCTGAGAACCACTCAAGGTATCCAGACCACCCCCTGGAAGGACGTGGGTAGGAGGTGGCTCGAAGAATGTTTCCAGGAGAGTTCATTGGTAAACTTGATCCACTCGAGAAGCGCATTTCAGGAAGCAGGGCCAGTACCAGGGACAGCACCAAGACCCGCGCCCAGGTGGGGAGAGGCAGCAGCACCATGGACAGCACCAACGCGAGCGCCCGGGGCGGAGAGGCGGGGAGAGGCGACCTCATCAGCTGATGCCTTACGTAGGCTGGATCCCCACTTTGAGAAGGCAGGTCTGGATGGGCGCGCTGGCGTTTGCGCTCCAAAGCCGTGTCCCCAGACGAGGTGGGGCGGGGCCTGGGGGGATAGCAGAAGGCAGATCCCAGAAAACAGGTCCCCGCTGGGCTTCCCTGGCACGGAGTTAAGGCTGCAGCCTGCTGCTTGGAGAGAAGGGCGGGTAGCGAGGCGACGCGCGCAGCGAGAGTACTGCTCTGACGCACCAGCACCCCCTCCCGCACCCACACGCTCCAGGGTCGCCCAGCTGCCCCCCGACTTGGGAGATGCTCAGCTCTGGGCGACCAGACAGCTGTCTCTGCCGAGGTGAAAAGCCTGGGCATGTGACAGCTTAGGAGGGCCCTGGCTGCGAGACGCAGCCCAGCACCCTCCTCTCTGCCACACCATCTCCCACGTATGCTCACTGGCAGGAGGTTGGGGCCAGTTTCATAGACAATCCCCAGAAACCCCGCCGCCAGCCAGAGGTTGCAAACATCCAGAGTGGCTCTGCGCGCAGTGGCCACCGTCCATCTTCCTGAACGCCCCTTCTGCACTCACTCTGGGCCGGTCTCCTGACCCAACGATGGATTCGTCTCTGAACCTAACCTACTTTTCCCTCTCCACCCCCGCCCCTTTGGAGACCAACCGCAGCAGCCTTGACGCCGACGACCCGCGCCCCAGCCCGCCCCTCCTCTCTGTCTTCGGTGTGCTTGTTCTGACCTTGCTGGGCTTTCTGGTGGCTGCGACGTTCTCCTGGAACCTCCTGGTGCTGGCGACCATTCTCCGCGTGCGCACCTTCCACCGAGTTCCGCACAACTTAGTGGCGTCCATGGCCATCTCGGATGTGCTCGTGGCCGCTCTGGTCATGCCACTGAGCCTGGTTCATGAGCTGTCCGGCCGCCGTTGGCAGCTGGGCCGACGGCTCTGCCAGCTGTGGATCGCGTGCGACGTGCTCTGCTGCACAGCCAGCATCTGGAATGTGACGGCCATCGCGCTGGACCGCTACTGGTCCATCACCCGCCATCTGGAATACACGCTCCGCGCCCGCAAGCGCGTCTCCAATGTTATGATAGTGCTCACCTGGGCGCTCTCCGCGGTGATCTCCCTGGCACCGCTGCTCTTCGGCTGGGGGGAGACCTACTCTGAGGGCAGCGAGGAGTGCCAGGTGAGCCGCGAGCCCTCCTACACCGTGTTCTCCACAGTGGGCGCCTTCTACCTGCCGCTCTGCGTGGTGGTCTTCGTGTACTGGAAGATCTACAAGGCCGCCAAGTTCCGGGTGGGCTCCAGGAAGACCAACAGCGTCTCACCCTCATCGGAGGCCGTGGAGGTGGGTGTTCTAGAGATCCTTGTAAATACTTCACTTGCGTTCGTTCAGGCTTTATCTCCCGCACACTGACTCCAAAGTTTGTAGAAAGTGAATTTAGTTTTCTTTTGGGGGGAGGGGAGGGGACAAAGGGGAAGGGATAGGCTGGGGGAAAGCATAAGAGACTGACTTTGTGTCAACACGCTCAGCTTCACAGAGCTAATAATGGCCTTTACCATCTCTGATGGATTATTTCCATATATAAAATGAGGGGTTTGGACTACATACTTCCGCAGGGTCCCATTTGGCTCTAAAATTCTGTGACTCTATAACACCCTTTAGAAGGTCTGAAGAAGTCAGTGTCTGGGGCTACTGGATAAACTTGCTGCTTGCTGCACCTAGAGTGGGGTGATCAAGGAGGAGGGAAGGGACAGATGGTAACGTGACTTGGCAGAAAGATTGCTCAACATCAGGCAAAGCAGATTAATGCTTTAGCCTAGTCTATTTTTTTCTTTGCAAATTAAAGCAACTAATTTTGCAAAAACATAGTATCTCCTGGATTACTGCCTGCTGTTCTGCAGCATCCTCCTCCCCTGATGCAAGATTATCAAGATGTTTACCTATTTCAGAGCCTGCTTTTGTTATCTACTTCCACGGCCTGTGGTGCTGCTCTCTGGGTCTATCCCCAGCCCCATCAGGCCTTTTGTATGCAGGAGAGGATCATTTGTTTGCCTTCCCAAACAAGCTACAGGAGGAAATTAAAAATCTAAGGCAGACAATTCCCCAGCTCTTTACAAGTGGCATTTTCTGTAGGGCTCTTTTCTTGCCCTCTCTTCACCACGCTTTCCTGTCTTGTTAACTCTTAATAATCCAACCCTATGACTGCAGATTCAGGAAATATATGACAACTGAATCCAATGGATATGGAGATTGCTCCCCCCCGAACAACTCTCATTGCCAAGGTGATCCCTTGAGCCTAATTCATACATTTAAGTTAGGTCAGAAATCTACGCAGCCCCATTTTCTGTTATTGGCTCTGGGACAACATAAATTCCATTAAGCATATTAAACACACACTATGTATGGGCTTGGTGCAAGGAGTAAAGAACGATAAAGACATCATCTTTCCCATGAAGAGCTCCCTCTAGTGAGGGAGATAGACACCTACTGTGAGTGCTGTAATATGGTTGTGTTTTCCAGATCAATAACTAATTCCAACAATAACCAGTCAATCAAGCTCAGAGGGACCAGAGGTGTAGGTAAGGGAGGAGAGAGTGCATCATTCTAGAAGAAGGAAAAGGGGGTCAGAGGCTACCTGTCCTTTTATCTAGAACAGTGGCCTCAACCAGGGGTGATTTGTCCCCTCCAGGGACCATTTGGAATGTCTGGGGACATTATTAGTAAAATTTGGGGGAGAGTACTAATGACATCTAGCATGTAGAGGCCAGGGACGCTGCTAAACATTGTAGAGTGCACTGGACAGCCCCCACAACAAAAAATTATTCAGAACAAAATGACAATAGTGCCAGATTTGGGAAAACCTGATCTATTAGATTTCTGAACTGAACAAGGAGTGCTGATGGCTAAGAGCACTCGCAGCACCAAACTGCCTGGAACTTCCATATGTGTGAGAATCCACCCCAACTCTGGGCCAGGAACAAGAGCACCCGCCCTCTTCAATGGCCCTCCTTATGTGGACCCTCTTCTGCCAGGATGCTTATCCAGTTAAATGGTTTACAATCAATACCAGATACAGCTTGAAAAGTAAAAGCAGTCACAGTTTTGTCTTGTGGAACTTACTGCAAAGTGATGCAGCCTTTCACTGCTCTGCTCTGGAGACAGCACCAGCAAGCATTTTGACATTGTTCTGCTTTTATACATTTTTTTGCACTGTTTAATTTTCTCTTTCTCTCTCTCTCTCTCTGCCACATAACTTAAGAAAATGGGTCCCTTGGCTTTGCAAGATGTCCAAATGATCCAGGGCTCCACTGTTACTGTGAAGGGTGAATTACAAACCAGGTCTCCTGATTTTTCCCTGGTAGCAGGTGCCGAAGTTTCTAAATACAGTTCTCCCACCACCTAGCTGTGTTACCTAGGGAAGCACAACACTTCTTCCTTACTTCTTTGTCTGCTGCGTTTTCTTCAAATACATACTGAGAGCTTAACCTCTGTCAGACACTGAGATGGGAGCTGGCAACACAAGAGATGGGCCTTGCCCTTGGCAAAGGATGATGAAACCACTACTAAAGATCTGGCATAAAAAGATAATGCTGAATTTATTGCTTACTAGTCTGCAGCAGAGCTGTGCTGGCCAGGCACAATCGCTCTGAGCAGAGAACAATGCTAATCTTAAATGGCATTTTTGGGAAGCATGGAGATCAGACACTGGGGACTTTGAGAGGGGGAGGTGGGTTGACATATGTATGAGTCTTTTTATGTCTTTATTTTTTATTTTATTTAAATTCAATTAATTAACATACACTGTATTATTAGTTTCAGAGATAGAATTTAGTGATTCATCAGTTACATATATCACCCAGTGCTCATCATATCATGCGACCTCCTTAATGTCCATCCCCCAGTTACCCCATCCTGCCCCACCCACCTCCCCTCCAGCAACCCTCAGTTTGTTCCCTAGAGTTAAGAGTCTCTTATGGTTTGTCTCCCTCTCTGATTTCATCTTATTTTATCTTTCCCTCCCTTCCCCTATGATCCTCTGTTTTATTTCTTAAATTCCACATATGAGTGAAATCATATAATTGTCTTTCTCTGATTGACTTATTTTGCTTAGCATAATACCCTCTAGTTCCATCCACGTCATTGCAAATGTTAAAACTTCATTTTTTGATGGCTGAGTAATATTGCTTTGTTTATATATACCATTCTTCTTTATCCATTCATCTGTTAATGGACATCTGGGCTCTTTCCATAGTTCGACTACTATGGACATTGCTGCTATAAACATCAGAGTGCAGGTGCCCCTTTGAATTACTACGTTTGTATCCTTTGGGTAAATACCTAATAGTGCAATTGCTGCATTGTAGGGTAGCTCTATTTTTAACTTTTTGAAGAACCTCTATGCTGTTTTCCAGAGTGGCTGCACCAGTTTGCATTTCCACCAATAATGTTAAGAGGGTTCCCCTTTCTCCGCATCCCACCAACATCTGTCATTTCCTGACTTGTTAATTTTAGGCATTCTGACTGGTATAAGGTGGTATCTCATGGTAGTTTTGATTTGTATTTCCCTGATGCTGAGTGATGTTGAGCATTTTTTCATGTGTCTGTTGGTCATTTGTATGTCTCCTTCAGAGAGATGTCTATTCATGCCTTCTGCCCATTTCTTAGCTGGATTTTTTGTTTTTGGGGTGTTGAGTTCTTTATAGATTTTGGATACTAGCCTTTTATCTGATAAGACATTTGCAAATATTTTCTCCCATTCTATAGGTTGTCTTTTAGTTTTGTCAACTTGTTTGCTTTGTTGTGCAAAGCTTTTTATCTTGATGAAGTCCCAATAGTTCATTTTTGCTTTTGTTTCTCTTGCCTTTGGAGACGTGTCTAGCAAGACGTTGCTGTGGCTGAGGTCGAAGAGGTTGCTGCCTCTCTTCTTCTCTAGGATTTTGATGGATTCCTGTCTCCCATTTGGGTCTTTCATCCATTTTGAGTTCATTTCCGTGTATGGTGTAAGAAAATGGTCCAGTTTTTATCCTTCTGTATGTGTCCATCCAAAATTCCTAACATCATTTGTCGAAGAGACTGTCTTTTTTCCATTGGATATTCTTTCCTGCTTTGTTGAAGATTTGTTGAACATAGAGCTGAGGATCCATTTCAGGGTTCTCTATTCTGTTCCACTGATCTATGTGTCTGTTTTTGTGCCAATACCATACTATCTTGATGATGACAGCTTTGTAATAGAGCTTGAAGTCCAGAATTGTGATGCCTCCAGTTTTGGTTTTCTTTTACAACATTCCTTTTTCTAATCAGGGTCTTCTGGTTCCATACAAATTTTAGGATTATTTGTTTCAGCTTTGTGAATTTTGATAGGAATTGCAATGAATGTATAGATTGCTCTGGGTAGCATAGACATTTTAACAATATTTGTTTTTTTAATCCATGAGCATGGAATGTTTTTCCATTTCTTCATGTCATCTTTGATTTCTTTCATCAGTGTTTTCTAGTTTTCAGAGTACAGATCCTTTGCCTCTTTGGTTAGGTTTATTCCTAGGTATCTTATGGTTTTTGGTGCAATTGTAAATGGGATCAATTCCTTAATTTCTCTTTCTTCTATTTCAGTGTATAGAAATGCAACTGGTTTCTGTGCATTGATTTTATATCCTGCCACTTTGCTGAATTCCTGTATGAGTTCTAGCAATTTTTGGGTGGAGTCTTTTGGGTTTTCCACATGGAGTATTATGTCATCTGTGAAGAGTGAAAGTCTGAGTTCTTCTTTGCTGATTTGGATGCCTTTTATTTCTTTTTGTTGTCTGAGGCTAGGACTTCCAATACTGTGTTGAATAGCAGTGGTGAGAGTGGACATCCCTTCGTGTTCCTGACCTCAGGGGAAAAGCTCTCAGTTTTTCCCCATTGAGAATGATATTCTCTGTGGGTTTTTTGTATATGGCTTTTATGATATTGAGGTATGTTCCCTCTATCCCTACACTGCAGAGAGTTTTAATCAAGAAAGGATGCTGTATTTTCTCAAATGCTTTTTCTGCATCTATTGAGAGGATCATATGGTTCTTATCCTTTCTTTGATTAATGTGGTGTATCACGTTTATTGATTTGCAGATGTTGAACCACCCCTGCATTCCAGGAATAAATCCCACTTGGTCATGGTGAATAATACTTTTAATGTACTGTTTGATCTTATTAGCTAGTATCTTGGTGAGAATTTTTGCATCTATGTTCATGAGGGATATTGGTCTTTAATTCTCCTTTTTGGTGGCGTCTTTGGTTTGGGGATCAAGGTAATGCTGGCCTCACAGAATAAGTTTGGATGTTTTCATTCCACTTCTATTTTTTGGAAC